AGGAGCCACTCACAGTACACATACACCCCAGTCCAAAAGTTGGCATGGCCTGGTCTGGGTTCGGACCATCCCGTTAGTATTGATTTATTTTAAACGTTTTTAAACGCTTTTAAATCAAAATATCATTTTTAGGTTGTTGAGTGAATTTTAAAACATATTTATAAGCACTTGATTTAAACGTAAAATTAATTATATAAAAAAAAAGTTAAAAGCCAAAAAGTTATTCTAGACTCTAAATCTATGTGTCTGAGTAAATACTGACACATAAAATATATTACCCTTTAAAAACAATAAATAATAAGGGTCATATGACTATATTACCCTTTAAATATATTTAATTTAATACTTTAAAAAATGAACTATTATTAAATAGTATAATGTAAAGGATAAAACAGATACAAAAGAGTAAAGTATCTCTTGATTTTCTATATTGAGAATACTCTATATTCATATTAATTATTATTATTTCATTTGTTCCATATTAGTTGATTATTAAATTAAAAATAATTTTTCTGTATTAGTTGTCCATAAGCATTAATTAAAATTATTCTACATCACCCTCGCAATTAAATTTTTTTGAAAATATTTATATTTGTTTGTAAAATTTCTAACTTTTTTTACGGAGTGAATTAGTAAAATTATTTATGATTTCTCAAATATTGTACAAAATGAAAAGTGATAAACTAATATAACATTGAGAAAATATTTCTTAAGATGTATAATACATAATTTAAAATAGACAAATAAAAAGGTGCGAAAAAAGTATTAAATTAGAGTTAAATTATGTAAAACATCTAAGCATGGCCAAATATTGAACTTAGCGCATTACCGATAATATAATTTGAGTGCTTGTGGGCAGGGGTTTGGAGTTGATTGTCCTTTCTGTTGACTCAGCAATTTTATGTATTAACGTTCTTCTTCATGTATTTGAATACATATCGATAAATTAAATTGAATGACATTTTATGATGAAAATATGATTAATTTATTTAAAACATATTAATATAAATGCTAATTACTCACTCGGTGCATTTATAATTACATATATGGTTTGAGATACATTGTATTTGCCTTGTGAATGCCCCGACAAATTATTGTTACAATTTACAATCATACAATTAAGGAATAACTTACATAATTTCATAGTGTAAAATTTAAATTACATCTTATTTCTATTTTTTTCTATTTTACAAAAATTCCTTAAAATAAAAGTCATTTGAATATATAGATTTCATGCGGATACATTATTTGTGATACATTGCAAAAGCTAGCAATTGCACCCTTTAAGGAAAATAGTTGGTTGTTGCTATTAATTGAGAAAATTAACCTAAATTGATTCTAAATCCCACGATTCAAGCATAAGTGATTATTATCAATTCACAAAAATCTGTAACAGATTTATATCTTTCAAAATTCAAATTTCTATTATCTTCATCAAGCCGCCATTGCAATCCAAATCGTGAAGAATTCAAAATACTCAAAAATATTGCTGATACAATATGAATATATATCGATTTTTTTTTAGAAAATGAGGAATTTGGGTAAGCAATTGAGTTATAAAGATTACAAAGTGCTCAAAGCCACCATTTCCGTCGAGTTGGAGATCGATGAGATTAGGTAAATCTTAGAAATTAGATACAGGTAATAACTGATCTGCATTGAAAATTAAAAATGACATGGGTGTAAAAATGTATTTGGTGGTGAAAAAAATGAGCATGAATTCGCAAGGTATCCTCTATGTATTGATACAACAGAGAAAGTTGGTTGAGAGACACATAACTTTGGTAAAACGATCTGATTGAAAATGGTATGTGAGTTTTTTTTTATCTCTATCTCTAATATTGTGTGATACATTATTATTATTAGGAGATGTATTGCGTTGATAACTTTTTTTTGCTTTTGATGATTGTCTGATGTTGATAAGATATTCATGATACATTAGTTGTAAATTGTCAGTAGTGTAAAATTAATTTTATATTTGGTATTTCTACATGTTTTTTGATGGTATGCCATAAATCATTTTTTGAGAGAATCTGTATCAAACAGTAGTAAACGCAATGAATTGTACGTGATACATACTTCAAAAGAGTTAGAATTAACATGTATCAGATACATTTTGTATCTCTAATGTGAGAATAACACTAATTTCTATAACGTTATCAGGCTAGTACTGTGAATATGATACATACAACCAATGTAATGTTTAAGATGTATCAAGTTGTTGTAGCGATCATTATTACGAATGATACATTAATGTATATTATTCGTTGAGATATTGTGAATCATTGTACTACTATGTATTTCAAGTTTATCTGGTGTATGTATTAATGTGAATTTTTTTAAAAAAATACATAACTATGTGTTAGTTTGCTTTTTGAATAATTGTGGTTTGGAGGTTATGCATTTTGAATGACTATTTTTTTTCGAAACTTTGCAAGTTGTTCCCCCATCTGAGTTTATTAGTGCATGATCAACAATGACTCTTAACCTTTCCTTTCGCGTTGCCGCTGTCTTTATGACACTTTCCTCCTTTATCAACATTGACTATATACTTGAATACTAAATATCAAATTTGAAATTTTGCTTCTTCTGCAAAGTTAAAGAACATACGATTGATATAACAACTGGATAAATTTAAATGTATCACTTTTATGTATTATGTATCATGCCCATAAAATTGTGCACGTACATTACTATTTATAACTTTAACTTCAGGATAAAAAAATTTGATAATGAAATTTCTGAAATTACATGTATTGTGTTGTGTAGTTGATTTTTTAATTTGTGATCTCGAGATGGACATATCACTTATCAATATACTAAATATTTAAAAATATTTAGTATATTGATAACTGTTATAATCCTACATGATACGTTAAAGTAGTAAAGATTGTCCATAAGGTGTTCAATTTTAGATTGATACATTACTGTTTGGTTTTAGATAGATTCAGCAACTGAAAAATTGTAATAGACTAGCATTATTCAAAATTTGAAATTATTTATTTTCGTTCTCTCCCAAACTCTCAGTTTTTGAATTAGACTTGTCGACAAATTGTACTAATACAACATGAACTTGTCGATCTTTTCGAGCCATTTTGAAATATGGTAAAGTGAGGTGAAGTATGAACGATGCAAAAGTGATGAAATTGTTGTTGATCAAAATATTTGTTTTGTGAATTTCTAATCAGCCCATTGCTGTTAAATTATAAATCAATGAATTGAGAAAAAAATTATAAATCAAATACATTGTTAAGGTGAAGAAGCAAGAGCTTTGATTTCAATGAATTTACTATGCATTTGATACAATATACAAAAAGGCTAAAAGATATACAACTTTGATGGATACATGTCTATGTGGTAATCACTATGTAAGTGATACATTTAGTATAAATTCAAATTTATGTATATGCCTAACAAATTAGTCCATGATATGTTACTATTCATGCATCTTACTTTGAAGATACATTATACATGATATTACTATTTATATATCTGCATTCATTGTTGCTTCATTAAGAGCTTGAGGCGTCTTGATCTGATTCATCATCAGCGTGTATTATAAATTATGGATACATTAAATTGATAATGTGTCATATACGAACAAATTTTGGTGTATCAAACATATGATAATGTGTCATATAATACTAAATATTCTGATCATACTGATACAATCTTAAGGTCACTTATTTCTGCAATAACATGAATATTCTTTTGAGAGATCGTGTATGAGTAATCAAATTCTGAAGCAATGTCTCCATTATCGAATCGATATAACTCGCCTTTGGATCTCGATTCAGACCTTATCGAAGACAACAACAACTAATATTTTTCTCTTATTTTTTTTAGCATTTCTTGATAATTGATTTCAAAATCCTTGTTGTCGGAGTTAAGAACACTGTCTTCATTAGATGAAAAATGCGATGAATAAGAACTACCTATTGCCAATTTTTTTTTAAAAAAAGACAAATGAAGAAAAAAGATAAAAGAGAGAAATTAATGGAAAAAGAAAATGACCAAACAACAAAAGAGGATGAACTACTTGTTGAAAAGATTTGAAATTGATTAATTAGAAAACGAAAACTCTTGAAATTCAAATTAGAATGAAAGAGATAACTGATCTGGGGAGTAAAAATAGGAGAGATGAAAGGAGTGAATATAGGAGCCGAGATGTGATTTTGTATTGGAGAGGGATAATGTATCCACACAGTTGGGTTTAGGATGAAAAATAGGGAGTTTTGAAATATTTTAAAATAGTAGGGAATAGGAGAAAATATAATAAGTAATGTTGTGTAAATAGGTAATTTTTTTATAATATACAACAATCAACTCCAGCTTCGTTTCTAGCCCAACTGAAGATGGGCTGGGCCTAATCTCCAATGGACATTACTGGTGACTCCAAGTTTTACACAAAATTTGGCCCATACTAATTTTGTGTACATAATTGCATATTTTACCTTTCAAATGAGTGGTCAATAGTTTTTAGCCTTTAGCAACTGGACTTAATACTTATATACCTAGCGAGGTGAAGTTGATGTCATGTCAAACATAATTAGTGAAAAATTATTCTTGTTTGTTCGGAAGGACATAACTATATATATAAATAATTAAGAGAAGTGTAAATAATCCTTATTTTTGAAGGGTGGGATGTTGTTTACGAAAAAAGAGAAAGTGGTTTGGCTTTGCAACAGCTAAACAAACTTAGCGGCTGTTTCGTAGCGCTGATGAAATCACATAAGGTTTTTATTCTTGGGGTTCATCTTTTTAAAGGAAGTTATATATATACTTGTATGTGAAGTTGGTAAATTCCAGAAGTGAGTTAACGTCACGTATGTTATGTTATTACATAACCCAAAAGAAGTTAAAGGCCCAAACGTCGAAAGATTCTCTTTGGATAAATATATGAATGGCCCACAGCATGCACAATCGTGACGCAAAATACCCGGCCTTTTTTTTTTCCATTAAGTTAATAGAGCGAATCTATGATGACTTAGTTGCTTGCAAAAATGGAAGTGGATGGAGGTGAATGGACTGGGAATTCGCGGTTTTTGATTGTGAATTACCAAGATGGAGGAATTTTGGACCTCATGCGCTTTCTCCTATCAGCTAACAAGGAAAACGCTCATAAATTTCTCCACTATTCCGACGGCGGTACCCCTGTGGTGGCGGAAGAGTTGACACGTGTTCATGACGATACCACTGCCGGAGATCATCGATGGGTTATATTTGTCTCCGTTATTGTGCGCAAATTAATCGCCATTTTCGGTAAACCCATGGAATGGTTTGGGTATCTCCTCGACTTCATCCTCAACCTTCTCTCTCTCAATGGCAACTTTTTTGGCCTTTTCTACAATATATTGCATGGTAATACTTAACACTTGCTCCTTTTTAGCAGAGTAGCGAATTATAATGTACACACATCCATGGATTCAACTATTAAATATAATGTGGCTTGTGTAAAATACTTTTTTTTACCGCTAAAGATATTGGGTTTGAGTCGCACCGGACTGTTACTATTCATCCTACCAAGGTTGGGGTGGAAACAAAAAGAAATAGTACGTAATAGAAGATTTATGAGTCACATGTTACATGAGGTGCTGATTTTATCTGGTGATTTAAAAAGTAGTAGCTTTTTTGTTGGGCACTCTTTGCTTTTGAATTTGCATTCTTATTCTTGCCACTTGAATAGGACTTCCAAAATTTAGGAACAAAACTATATTTCCCATAACAACCTGACGTTAGTGCCATTTGCACTTACTTGGCACTTCGCTACTAAATATCATCACACTTATCTTTTTGAGTTGAATGCTGCCTCAAACTATTCTGTTGTGTTTCCATTATCAAGCTTTGTCTCTCTCAAATTATATTTATGAACAAAATGTTTTGTGAAAACAGGAAAGGTGGTGATGCCACAGAGAGGGTCAGAAACGTTTATAAGTGCGATTGGGCATTTAGATGGGCGTATAGACTTATACAGGACTGAGACGTTAACCAAGGAAATTGGAGAGCCTGATTTCTGGCAGAAAGATATTCAACTTGGAATAGGACACAGAGCCCTTATGGACCTCTGTATGATGGCTTCAAAGTTGGCCTACGAGAATGCAAAGGTCGTTCAGAATGTCGTAAATATTCACTGGAAGGTTATGTTATGATTCCTATTTATTTTTTATTTTTTTATTCTTCTGCTCTAACTAATGGAAGAAAATAAGTTTACCATGTTGTTTATGAAAACTTATACTTAAAATTGATTTCCATAACAGATGCATTTTGTGGATTTCTACAATTGTTGGAATGGTGAGAATTCAACCTTTACCTTACATTCGAGTCATCCAAAATTACCATTTAAGCACACCCTCTTTCAGGGGAGAGTTAATCCTTTAAGACTTTGCAAGTCGCTTCTTGCCAGCCTTCAAGGGAAAATAAAACCACATTGTGAACTCACCTTTCATCCTTTTGTTTGTTTATCACTGTTACTGGTTTATTCTCTATGTTGGAGCAGACTTTGACTCATTTACTTCTTTTTCTTCATCATCAATTGTTATGACATCTTCTGATTTATGGGCTGTTTTCTTGTTCTTTCTCTGCACTTGCTGATATAGATTTCGAGAAAGAGATGTCCACCCAGGTTTTTATATTGTGTGATAAGCCAAAAGATGCAAACTTGATAGTCATCAGCTTCAGGGGCACAGAGCCTTTTGATGCTGATGACTGGATCACTGATTTTGACTACTCTTGGTACGAGATTCCAAAACTTGGCAAAGTACACATGGGTTTCTTGGAAGCCTTAGGTTTAGGGAGCAGAGCTAAAGTCTCCACATTTCATGAACAGCTGTTCATGAATAATCAGAACTTCACCAAATTAGAGAATGATGCAACTATTGCTCCTTCAGAAAGTTCTGAATCTTCTACCATGTTCAGTGATTCTGATGCACACAGTGTGTCAGACCAGTCGCCTGAATCAGATAGGCCTACTGATGCCGGATCAAAGAAGTTCAAACTAGATATGCCAGAGAGGACGGCATACTATGTTGTCAGGAGTAAACTCAAAAGGTTACTCAATGAGCACAAGAATGCAAAGTTTGTTGTTACAGGCCATAGCCTTGGTGGAGCATTAGCTATATTATTCCCGACAATCCTAGTGCTGCATGAGGAGATGAATGTCATGGAACGGTTATTGGGGATATATACATATGGGCAGCCAAGGATTGGGAACAGACAGTTAGGGAGGTTCATGGAAGCCCATTTGGAACATCCAGTCCCAAAGTACTTCAGAGTTGTTTATTCCAATGATCTTGTGCCAAGATTACCTTATGATAATAAAACATTCCTGTTTAAACACTTTGGGATTTGCCAGTATTACAACAGCTTATATGTTGAGCAGGTAAAAGCTTCAATGCCCTATTCTTTCTACAGTTATCAATGTTGCTCGTCTAATATCTGGTGTTCTTCTCGAAATGTCAATTGGCTTGCAGCACATTGTCCTCTAATATCCATTCAAGCTTCTTAGATGATGAAACATTTGTCAAATTTATTAATTTCATAGTGTTCAGTCTCAATTCTTTAGCTGTTTCCTCATAGTAAAGTTGTCTAATATGAAATGAAAATGTTCTGTGTGTTGTACTAATACCTTTTCATGGTTGTCTATAGAACGTCGATGAAGAGCCAAACAGAAACTATTTTGGGCTGCGATTTCTGATACCATTGTATCTGAATGCTGGGTGGGAGCTCATCAGAAGCTTTACAATGGGTCACATATATGGAGCCGAGTATGAGGAATGCTGGGAATCAGTTGTGCTTCGCGTGCTAGGACTTTTCCTTCCTGGTATTTCTGCCCACAGCCCAGTTGATTACGTGAACTCCGTCAGACTTGGAAAGGAGAGAAGTACCCAAATGTCGTCTTTTTAGAAATACTTTTGTCACAAAATAGCGGGGTTTACAGCTACAGAAGATCATGCAGAAGGCGTCCAGTTTAGTTTTTGAAGGTTGTTTGGAGTTTATTTATCTAAAGTAAACTTAAATCAGCTTTTTGTTTATGAGTTCAGTGAACTATATGTTCAAATAAGACTTCCCTTTGTAGAATATGTGTTTTTTTTGTTGTTGAGCACTTTGTGTGCATTGGATAAACCCCCAACGTGTAATAGCTACCATACAAGAGAAGTAACTCGCACTGTCCATGTCTTATGTGGCTCGACTCAGAAAGCATTCAGGGGGATTGATAACCACCCTCCAAACCAACTGAACCATTGTGAATAACCACCCTTCAAATCAACCGAGTCCTCGTGAAGGACAAATATGTGGTTTTATATACATTAAATTTTGTTTTTACATGCTTCCTCTTACTTCTTTAGTTTTCTTGACCATATCTTCTTTTTCCCTTCTGTAATTGACATTTTCTTCAAACCATCCAGCAATGTGGAAGCTTGACGATTTTCCTTCAGAGTAGAAATTGAAAAGAATCAACTAAAAAGGATAGTCCTTCGATTTGATTTCCGGCTTAAAAATAAACTAATAAGAATGAGAGAGCGAATAATAGAATATTTTGAAATTTTAAAGATATTCAACTATGTTAAATTGCGTTATAAATTTCTTAAATTAGTAGCACCTAATAGTTTAGTTCTCAAAAGTCAAAACTACTACATAATGTGCTCATTTTTCACATTAAAATGCCTACATGATGTAAAAGTAAAACTCGTAGCATTCTACGTGTTTTACTCAACTCAAACATCCTGTTCATTTTAATAAACGTACGATGAGCTTCTCTCTCCAATTTTCTTTTCTTTTTTTTTTTTAAAAAAATATTTTTTTTTATATCAATCCAAATGGGCTCCAATTTATCATAAATTAGGTAGAAACTTAGATATTAAAGAAAGAAAAGGGTTTATCTCGCAAGTGTGGCTATGGTGGGACGTGTCAAATTTTGGATTGTAGCCAAACATGAGATTTGATTTAAAGGGAATTGGCCAAATCACCGAAAGCAGGCATCTTCATCATAAATTAGTTTGTTTATTTATACAGAATTATACGCTTTTACTAGTTATAGCATTCGGTATCTTTTTCTGGGTAACTGCCAAACCACCACAAATTTCAAGTTTCCATTTAACTCTTCAACTTCAACCCAACCAAATTTATTTGCTTAATTGTGCAGAACCACTCCCTATATCTTCTAGGTGCTTTCATTCGTTCCGAGGTAAGAAAAGATTTTTGTTTCTTTGAATGCTTTATGCCACTCGTTTAACTTCTGAGGTTTGTGGATCTTTTAGGCGACTTTTTTTTTTTTTGTATGTAAAATTTGTTTCATAAATGCTTCTCAACATAAATCTTGACAAAGAGAAGGAATTTTACCAAGTATTTAGGTTCAGAAATGGATAATTTTCTTACTGTGAAATATCCTTATGGCAGGTTTTACTGTTATTTTTCAGTAAAATGCCTCAAATTGGACTTGTTTCTGCTGTTAACTTGAGAGTCCAAGGTAGTTCAGCTTATCTTTGGAGCTCGAGGTCGTCTTCTTTGGGAACTGAAAGTCGAGATGGTTGCTTGCAAAGGAATTCGTTATGTTTTGCTGGTAGCGAATCAATGGGTCATAAGTTAAAGATTCGTACTCCCCATGCCACGACCAGAAGATTGGTTAAGGACTTGGGGCCTTTAAAGGTTTGGTTTGAATTCTATAGACTGATGACTTGAATTATTATCTCAAGGCATATATTTCTCTAAAATAAAGGAACTATCTTGTCATTCAGGTCGTATGCATTGATTATCCAAGACCAGAGCTGGACAATACAGTTAACTATTTGGAGGCTGCATTTTTATCATCAACGTTCCGTGCTTCTCCGCGCCCAACTAAACCATTGGAGATTGTTATTGCTGGTGCAGGTGATATTCCGGGTCATCTATATTTGTAGCATTCGTTTTGCTTATTTCGAAGGAAGCATTTTTTTGCTGTATTATCATTTGAATATTTATTGTACCTGTACATGCCTGATTAACTGTTTGACTACAAAATTTGAGGTTATTAAGCTCTTGTCATTTTGCGACTAAATAGAAAGTCACTGCTGATTGGACTAGGAGCAGTTACACAAGTTGTAAATTTTGACTATTCAGCCATCACTCTCTTTATTTCTGCTGTTATAATGTCTTATCTCTCTATCATTTGAGCCATGATAAGTCACTGAACATGCTATTGTCTGTGACATGTCCAAATGGTGACTCTGAAGTATTAGAGGTGTATATATCAATTCTCCAGTGCAAGATTGATCCCATCCCACTATACCTATATATTGCAGTATGTGGAGTTCCAAAATTTGAACACTAAATTAAGTTACACAATAAGGGGTTGCAACCTTTAATGCATGCAATCTGTGAGAACGTGAAGCAGATATATGATAGATCTTCATATTTCATCTTTACTATGCTGGAGCAGTGACCTCTAAGCTGCCTTGAACTTGTTCATTGACTTGGTTGCAAAATACTGTAACATTCATTTTCAACTAGTACTATAATCAACTAGTAGAAAATTATATTACTACCTAAAGAAGTGTTATTTGCATGATTTGTTCCATTGTACTTCAAAGCATATAATAAAGAAGGCAACGCAAGGTACTAGATAGCTATTTCAGATAAATGGAGCAGTAACATGATTCTATGATAATTCAACTTTTTGGAATATCAGGTTTGGGTGGTTTGTCTACAGCAAAATATTTGGCAGATGCTGGTCACAAACCGATACTGCTGGAGGCAAGGGATGTTCTAGGTGGAAAGGTTAAGAAGATCAAAAATTTCCTTTTTTTTAAAAAATCCTTTTTCTTTTTGTGTCTTTCCCTATTAGTAGTCCTTTTTGGGGTAGGGGTTCTGTTTGTTTCATATAAATGTGCTGTCTTTTCTGGTAGATTCTACGTAACCTAGCTAATACCTTTAGTCTAGATCACTATGTTAAGTAGTTTCAAAACAAAAAACTCTCTCTTAGTTTGTTTTATGTTTTGATGCATGTTTTCTCTAAAGATTAGATGTCCTTTTTGTCTACTTGCTTTTGTTACATTTGCATTTAGGTGCAAGTTGGTATTTGCATACTTAATAATGCATGTTTTAATTTTACTTTTCTGCCTATTCTATGTCCTTTAATCAAGAATCGATTTGCACGCTATTTCTTCCTCGTATTTTATGCATCTATATGCTTTCAAGTTGAAATGGCTAGAATGGATTATCTTGCTTATGGAGTCACCAAGAATTCTAGTTGTATAGGCAAACAATTGATTTAGTATTAGTCTTTATGTGTTCTACTGTTGAGAATTTATATCTCCCTTTAGGTAGCTGCATGGAAAGATGATGATGGAGATTGGTACGAGACTGGTTTGCATATATTCTGTAAGTTTGACCTCTCATTGTTATATGTTTACGTTAATCTTCTATATACTGTCATTGTATTTTTTTTTTTGATCTCTAGCCAATTAGACATCTCCTATCCTCGTTTGTCGTTTATCGTTTATCTTTTACAAAAATAGCCTATTATTGTCAGTAAATCTGTATTTTGTCTAGCTTCTCCTTTCTCATCTTATTATTCATATAGTGACTCATACAAATTGGTGCTTGATCTCTTTTAAGTTGGGGCTTACCCAAATATTCAGAACCTGTTTGGAGAATTAGGGATTAACGATCGATTGCAATGGAAGGAACATTCAATGATATTTGCAATGCCAAGCAAGCCAGGAGAATTCAGCCGCTTTGATTTCTCCGAAGCTTTACCCGCTCCTTTAAATGGTGAGCTAATCACGAGTAAATTTCTCCCTCTTGTAGTTATTTTGTTAAACTTCCCTAATAAGCTGTAAAGTTGATTAGAATTCTAAAAAAAAAATCTGTAAAATTGATAAGTCAATCACACCTATGGGACTTTACTAACCTTAAAAGAGCATAAAAGTTCATTACTTCTTCATTGGACCTTTTGTGTGCAGCTAAAATATTAAATTCTTTGATATAATTTGCAGGAATTTTAGCCATCTTAAAGAATAACGAAATGCTTACATGGCCAGAGAAAGTCAAATTTGCAATTGGACTCTTGCCAGCAATGCTTGGAGGGCAATCTTATGTTGAAGCTCAAGATGGGATAAGTGTTAAGGACTGGATGAGAAAGCAAGTGCGTAATCAATTATGTTGCTTTTTAAGTGCATAAACCCTGGCTATATAGTTACCAGTTCACACACAAATTGTTCATTTGAGGTGTTAGATTGTCTACCTGCCTCTCTTTTGCTAAGAGCATACATCTAGCAAATCTCAGCAGCAGCAAGTTGCTTTGCAGGGTGTGCCGGACAGGGTGACAGATGAGGTGTTCATTGCTATGTCAAAGGCACTCAACTTTATAAACCCTGACGAACTTTCAATGCAGTGCATTTTGATCGCATTGAACAGGTTTCTTCAGGTTAGAATCCTGATCCCACATTCAAAACAAAGAGAGAGAGAGAAGTACTTTTGTCCCTTCCAGACTCTCACATAACATGAAATCTCTAACTAAGGAGCTTAAATGTGATTGGGTTGTCCATAAGTTCATCTTGTTTGGTACGCAACACTAGATTGCTGTAGGAAACATTCATAATGGCAGTTTTGAAGATGAAACTTTTGAAGTTACCATCCGTCAAATAATATACTTTGGTTTTGCTTGTTACTTCTGGAGGGACAGGTTTCTCTAGGTTGAGGGCATATTGTTTAACTGCTGGAGAAGTTTTTGTTTAATCGACATACTCTCAGAAGCTTCTACTAGCAGAAATGGAATTGATTTATGCTAACTTGGACACTTATATTAACCATCCTCCTCCTCCTTTTTCTTTTCCCATTACTTTTCTGAATCATCTTCTGGAACTTCTATTAAACTTCTCCAAATTCTACCATGCAAATGGGCCTCTTGTAAATTATACCCTGAATCTCATGGATGAAGGACTACTTTACTGATTCACTTTTAAACAGCTCAGTTGTCATCTAGTATGCATTTTATTGTCTTAAAGAATTTAAGGTGAACTACTTATAACTTGGAAACAAACAAACCCCGAAAGAATAAGAAATGATGGTGAATTTCTCCATTCAGTTTAGCTTTTCTGATATATTTGATTTATTAATTAACAGGAGAAACATGGTTCAAAAATGGCCTTTTTAGATGGTAATCCTCCTGAGAGACTTTGCATGCCGATTGTTGAACACATTGAGTCAAAAGGTGGCCAAGTCAGACTGAACTCACGAATAAAAAAGATTGAGCTGAATGAGGATGGAAGTGTCAAGAGTTTTATACTGAGTGACGGTAGTGCAATCGAGGGAGATGCTTTTGTGTTTGCCGCTCCAGGTATAATATCCATTATACTAGTTGATTAATCCAGTTTTCAGTTTCTTAATATGAGTTTATGATTTTTGCTGATTTTTGATGAACCAATTAGTGGATATTTTCAAGCTTCTATTGCCTGAAGACTGGAAAGAGATTCCATATTTCCAAAAGTTGGAGAAGTTAGTCGGAGTACCTGTGATAAATGTACATATATGGTTAGTGTTGAATATTTTACTTGTTAGTGTTTGTGTGTAGCATACCTATGTATGTGCAATGAAATGTCTATACATGTATGTTTATAAATATTGACTTGCATATCCTCAGTCTTGTGTGAATTTCCCTTGAATGAGGAATTATGGATGTTGGGTTTTCCGAAACTTAGATAGTAAAAGTGCAAATTTCTGTACATATTTTAATGAGAAGAACTACCATCGTTCTGGCCATTAGTGGCTAATATTCTGCTGAAAAGAAAAAAATTCTCATCATGAATTCATATGTATCCTTAATATACTGAAGCGACTACTGTTATCGGTACCAAACCAATAACGATTGTATAAATTAAACTGCAGGTTTGACAGAAAACTGAAGAACACATATGATCATTTGCTCTTCAGCAGGTTAATTTCATTCACTTTATTCTTCCAAAGCAGTTTGTGTGTCGATGACTTCATTTTCATTTAGTTCCCTTCCTCCTCTTCCAGTGTCATTATTATTTGATACAACATTGAGTAGACGGATTATCAATTTCCTGCAAATTTCCTAGTGACTTAAATCATTAGATTCATATCATTGTAAATGGCTATGTTTAATAGAAAGTTAATGAAGTATTTATTGGTCTAAATAAGCATTTGTTGTTGCCCCTCCCCCTTCCCGGTGAAAATCCTTTCTCTAAGCATTAGCTGGTGAGATTCAGTTGAGGATAGACATGACATGTCACGGCAACCACTTCTCCGTGGCATGAAAAATGGACTAGAGATCCAAGTCGTCCACATTTCATCAGCTATATGTTAATTATGTTCCCTTTAGTTTTTAAATGACACCGCTGGTGGAGACAAGATAAATAGAGCTCCTTTTTCAATTCTTAAAATATTGTGTTGTTTATGATACTTCTATTGGTTCCTTTTCTTAATTTCTCTTTCATATTCATGCAGAAGCTCACTGCTCAGTGTGTATGCTGACATGTCTGTTACATGTAAGGTATTCATATGTAACCATTTATATTGCTCTCAAATTATAATCTGTGGACTTGTGTATAATTTGCTGTGAATTGCATAATGCTTGTTGGTAAGTGTATGAATTCCCGCTGTTGTAATCTTCATTTGGGATATACAATGATATTGGTTTTGTATATATGGAATAGCCAGGGCTATGATCCTGTCTGTGCACGGGCCCGGAGCCACCACATGAGGCAAGTTACACAGGACAAGTAAAGAAATTTTGACGAAACTTAGCCGGAGATTTTTTTTTTCCATTTTAGCTAATTTTCTAAGAATTTAATGGGATAAAATTCTTTTATTAGCTATCTAGGTTCTTGCTGCCTTGGGGGTGGAGGGGTAAGAAGAGAACTTAATTCAGTGTTACCTGCAGTTTTGGAAAGAGTCTACAGATCTACTTCTCAGTTTTATTGGTTGTGGAAATCTGTACAAATATAAAGCATTGCCAAAAAGTTGGAGAAGTTAAACTTGAAAAAAGAGGCTTATGATAGAACACTCAGACAATTGTCTATCGTAAAAATATTTTCCTTTGCTGTGTATAGTCATTATCCCATTCTCTTCATGTGTGTTTTACGACCCTCTGACATAGCTGGCCTCTATGCAGGAATATTACAACCCCAATCAGTCTATGTTGGAATTGGTTTTTGCACCTGCAGAAGAGTGGATATCTCGCAGCGACTCAGAAATTATTGATGCAACGATGAAGGAACTAGCAACGCTTTTTCCTGATGAAATTTCAGCAGATCAAAGCAAAGCAAAAATATTGAAGTACCATGTTGTCAAAACTCCGAGGTAATATAGCATTTGTCCTTCATAGTTGCTCATCATGATATGTTTTTTCACTCTTCATACAAATATTTAGATCATATTTGAGAGTCCTGCATTTACTAGAATCGAGTCCGAATGGAGTCTATACATGAATCCTTGTTGATCTGCTTTTTTTCTCTCAGGTCTGTTTATAAAACTGTGCCAGGTTGTGAACCCTGTCGGCCTTTACAAAGATCCCCAATAGAGGGGTTTTATTTAGCCGGTGACTACACGAAACAGAAATACTTGGCTTCAATGGAAGGCGCTGTCTTATCAGGAAAGCTTTGTGCTCAAGCTATTGTACAGGTAAGTTCTCACTGGTTGTCAGCAGTTGTTTCTTTCATTCCTGGTATGTTTGATTATATTCTGTCTTCTTTGTTATGGTAGAGAAGTGTAGAACCATTTCTTAGGCATTACATTTGGTAGCAGTCTCTTTCTGTAAGCCTGTTTCTCATTAATTTGGCGGGAGAGAGGGGTTGTCAAGTAGTACAACTTCACTTCTGACGGAGCTTCTTTCTCTCAACTTGTACCTTCAACAGAAATGGATGTCGAACATGCCTATACTAATTCTGCCTAGCGTAATAGTTTCTCCAACCAAATTTAATAGTTTGTGCACACACCAGTTAAGTTCAAGGAGTACTGTAGTCTCCCATTCTTAATTATGGTCTTGGTTTGATCCCTTGGAAAAGGAGAAAATGTTGGAGGGAGCAATTTCCCCTTTAAACGGCACGCAAAACCAGATAAGTTGGACGAGTGAGTTTTGAATACTGGATGGATTAAACAAACAAAAAAAAAATTGGCGCACAGATTGCAGTGTTGTGTGGTCTTAGAACCTCAGTAGTAGCGTGATATATGCAGAGAGTTGTGTTTATTCATCTTTTATTACACCTATATTTTGCAGGATTATGAGTTACTTGTTGGACGTAGCCAAAAGAAGTTGTCGGAAGCAAGCGTAGTTTAGCTTTGTGGTTATTATTTAGCTTCTGTACACTAAATTTATGATGCAAGAAGCGTTGTACACAACATATAGAAGAAGAGTGCGAGGTGAAGCAAGTAGGAGAAATGTTAGGAAAGCTCCTATACAAAAGGATGGCATGTTGAAGATTAGCATCTTTTTAATCCCAAGTTTAAATATAAAGCATATTTTATGTACCACTTTCTTTATCTGGGGTTTGTAATCCCTTTATATCTTTATGCAATCTTTACGTTAGTTAATATCTATCTATCGATATTCTAGTATCTTATACTATAGATCCAACTGAACCAAGAAATTATGAACCGTGTCTTCCAGAAATTCTAATAATGATGGGAGCAATATAAATATAAGGATGTCTTTGACAATAAAAGGGCGGTGGAAGAGTTATAGTGAAAGCTTCTGGCCATCAAATGGGCTCTTTGTCACATGATTGAACTACTTCACCACCTACCGTTGGTATCCATAGTAAATTGAGATTAAAAAAAGTTAAAACAAACTATTCATTCCATGTCATTTTACTTTTCAACTTGCTATCTTCTAATTATAAGTGGGTTGTGGAGAGAGCACTGTTGGGTCAGCAAAGCAAAGTAGATTATACTCTATAATATTATGATGATTAGTCAACTGCTGCTCACTTACAACGATGGAAATGGGGATGAGGGTAACTTTAGCTACACTCTTGGGCATACATTGTATTTGGATAGGAAACAATCTACAAAAAAAGGAATGTTCTTAGAAAAAGACTCACTGAATCTGCACTCACTTCTTTTTGTCCTTATTATTGCCGCTTCACAGTTCATTACAAAATCTCTCCAATATACAATTGTGATTTGTGATTATTTCTTTGGGTTTATATTCCACCGACCCATTTTGTCAGGATTTTTTCTAGGCTCCAATATCCAAGTTAAAAGGCACATGAGTTTATGGATTCTCAAGTGATAATTATAGAGATACTAAGTATCTTTAGCGGGGAAGATAAAGATATGAAGTATAAGTTAGGCTATGGCCTATGCAATCCCAGTTCCATTAACCTAGTAGAGAAAGATCTGTGATGAGCTGTATCATATCTTATAAAAAATGATGATGAGTATAAACAAGTAGATCTATTGAGATTTGAGGTCCTCCCAAAACGTAACAATTCAAAATTGTATATTTTGTTATTTGCAAGATTAGTAGATAAATGAGTAACTATCACAGCTCGGTTTCATCTAATTAAACATTAAGCAAATCGACTGACTAATGATGAGTTGAGATTTAAATAATAATTAAAGGCAGAGTGGGTTTTGGACGAATATCCAATGTAGTTCAAGTGAGAACGATAAAGAATTATTTGCCGATGGGACTCGGACTCCAAAAATAGCCGACATTGTGTTTCAAAATCCCATAGGGATGCCTTGTCCAGATTAAGCAACCTTCCTTTTCTCACGCCCACTTTACCACTTTTCTAATCAAAACGCACGTAACTACAAATTACAACAATCATCCCTTGGATTCCAATTTACTATGCCTCAAAGTGTAAAATACGTTCACTCCAAGATTTTAAAACCAGTGTGCTTCTTTCCATGCAAATCCCCACTGTTTTCAAAGTGACCATGTTCATTGTTTACCCCCTTCTTGATTTCTTGGTATAAATACTTTGTTTCCTTTTAACATTTTTCCATCAGGGTCCAGCTCCAATTGAGCTTTTTTCCCCTTTTTACTCTCTTCTCAATCTCCCAAAACTAAAAGTTATCAACTTTACTACTAGTAAGAAATTATGGCTGATCAACAAGTAAAGCAAGTATCATCATACAGGAATGGATCATCAAAGAAGAAGAACAACATTTCAAGAAAGTGTGCTTCCTTGATTAAAGAACAAAGAGCCCGGATTTACATTCTCCGTAGATGTGCCACTATGCTTCTCTGTTGGTATATTCAAGGGGATGAATGAGTTCATCCATCATCAATCCCCAAATCAACTACCACTACTTCTTCAATTAAACGTACAACCCCTACTCTACATAGTCTACCTTGTATCCGTATGTGCTTTCCCCTTTTTGGCTCCACCCATCATTTCCACGTGCTTGATCATGAAAAAGAATCGGGACGTGTTGAAGATATAATTAAGTAAATAAATGTGTACTCTCTCGAGATAGTCACACACTTCAACACGGCTACCTACTCAGGCACTTGGTCGTATTGCTCCTGTTTGTCTTCCATAGTTTCTTAGAAGTCCCTAGTTACTCTTGTCATTTTGATCGTGTACCACTTCACATTTTTTACCCAAACTCTATTGGGTTTTTTTGGTCCATGAACAAATTACAGGGGAGATGGTCACTTTGAAACAGAGGTTTTTGGACAAACAGGGGACAAAAATTGGATGGGGAAGCTGATAAGAGGGCATTTCCAAGCATATGGTGGACACAAAGTTGTTCTATATAATCTGAAAGCCTATTTTGATGTAACAAGTGTAATGCAATCCACCTGACTTTTCTAGTATGTTTAATTTGGAGCAAATAAATATCGACAATTGAATAGTAATTCAATAAGTGTAACACATCCATAGTGATGTGCTAGCATGTTTACTACTAGTAATAAGGAGGGCCGCGATGGCAGCCCTTAATGGAATAAAAGGAAGGGATTGTATGTTTAGCCGTCTTTTGTGTGATGATATTGTAATTCAATATTACTTTTTTTGTTATTTGGGGTCAAGAAGTTAGTTTCTGGGAGTTTGTTTGGCATGAGAATATATTAGATAAGAGTGTCGTTGGATTTGGAAACCAGGTTGGTGATCAACATGCTACTAGCTTGAGCCAACCTGGTTCTACTATTCCCATGTATATAAGATATTTTCATGGACACAATTGGTTTGAACTTGAAATTTTAACAGCTAATAATATGTTAAAAAGATTTGAATATTTGATATTATGTGTAACTGAATCCTGCAACATTCATAGGCTGTTGAATACTTGGAGAAAATTAAAAACGAATTATTTACCAGTAAAAGGAATCTTCACTTGCAAAACTACCCATAACATAAATAATTTATTGTGCTAAAATAAAGCTTTTATTCCCGCCCTCAGTCTCAGTGGGCTCTAAAGTTATATATAATGCTTCCAAAAGTTGCTAAATTCCCCTACACACAATCAATGCAGTCATCTTATTAAATTTGTTATATTCGACTTTTAACTTCCAAGGTTATTGGTCATCGTTTCTTTCTCCATCTGAAATTGATGCATATTTGATGTGTATGTTAAATCAACATATTTATTAGCACATGAATTTTTATCCCTAAAGTATAAAATCACGATAGTATTTAGAGAAACTAAATGAGGTATTTTGCTCCTAGAAAAATTTGTGGCGAATTGAAAAGGTTTAAGTAAGTTGAATTACTACAAGTTGGTGTATATCAATTATATAAACAACAATTTAAATTCAATGTAATTTAGATACTGTCTTATTCAAGTGCAGGTTGGAAATGATTTTGGTTTCAAGTTTGCCTATAACCTGCTTGTGGAAATGCCCGAACCAGAGTTTAGAGCATAACTGATACTAAATGGTCAAGGTAAATTCGTGGTAACATGAATTGGATATGCTTATTTCCCCATGTATACTCCTACAACCAGAAACTGTTGAACCCCAAAACGAATGGGTACTACTTTTTTCTTCTGATTGCTTTTACTAGACTAGATTGAATGCTGGCTTTCCATGACCCCTGAACCTCTAGGGAGTTCCTTTCATTTTGCATGATTGCATAGGTTATGCATTGGAGTTACACGTTACTGAATTAGTCAATGAGAATTTCCATGTCTTATTCCCAGATACTAATGCTGCCTAAGTTTGTTATCTTTAACTTAACATCCAATGTTAGCCATGATGCAAAATCGTAAATGTAATTTATTGAGGAAATCGTCCACTTTATACATTTATTCCTATATGTTAACTTCCTACGTGTAAAAACCAAAAAAGTTCATCTATACAGACACTCACAGCTACTTCAAATTTATGCATACCCCACCACCTTATTTAGGTGCTCCCTCGTTGGATACTACTCTGTTGAGCCACTCAACCACTTCTGCTATACTTGGCCTTTTGAAAGGATTCTGGCTGACACACATGCAGGCAACATCAAGCACTTGAAGCATTTCTTCTTCGAAACCCTTGTCTCTTAGTATGGGATCAAATATTTCTTCTTGTTTACCCTCATTTCTCATTAGGTGCACCCATACAACCAATTCCCTTGACATCTTTGGTTTGCTCATGTCCACAGGTCTTCTGCCAGCCAGGAGTTCTAACATCACAACTCCAAAACTATAGACATCTCCTCTCAAAGTGGCTATCCATGATTGACTATACTCTGGTGGGATGTAGCCAAGGGTACCAACCAGTTCAGTGGTGACGTGAGTTTGGTAAGGAAGAATCAATCTGGACAATCCGAAATCTGCCACATGTGCTTTAAACTTTTCATCAAGGAGGATGTTACTGGACTTTATGTCACGATGAACAATATGTGGTTCACATATCTGATGCATGTAAGCCAGCCCACAACTTGCCCCCTGTGCAATCTTCAGTCGAGTTGGCCAATCAAGTTGGGATGCTCCATCAGTCTTCTCGTGCAACCAGTAGTCCAGACTTCCATTTTGCATATAGGAATAGAACAGCAACCTACAGCCATCATGCACACAGTAACCTTGAAGAGAGACCAAATTATCATGTTGGGCAGTGGATAAAACTTCCACCTCTGCTTTGAATTCTCTTTCAATTAAACCCATATCTCCTGAAAGTTTCTTAACAGCCAACGTAGTTCCATCTGCTAACGTTGCTTTATAGACCAGACCAAAGCCTCCACAACCAACTATGTTTGCTTGGTTGAAGTTATTTGTGGCTCTCAGAATGTCAAAAATTGTGAGATCATTAATCTGATCCTTATTGGTTGGAAACATAACAAGCATGCTGTTATCCTTTCCAATCTCAGCAGACAATCCAGAAGTGGAGTTGTAGGACACAATTTCCAAGTCATTTTTCTCGGCGTCACCTCTTGGAAGGATCCTCCTCTTGGAGAATATCCAGAATGCTATGATGATGACTGTGAAGGCAATGCCAAAGGAGATCCCTAGGATGAGTCCAATTAAGATTTTCCGTTTTGAGGTTTTTCTAACTGCAGAAGGTTGTGTAATTCCTGATCGATCAGGGCAAGGGTGCTGCAGGATTTGACCACACAGTCCTGGATTACCTAAGAAACTAGTGATAGGAAATGTGTCAAACTGACCTCCCGTTGGAATAGGTCCCTCAAGATTGTTGTGAGCAACACTAAAAGAAGACAAAAAATGAAGACCCTTGAGTGAAGAAGGAATTTCACCTGAGAGGTTGTTGGCAGAGAGGTCTAGTTTTTCCAGATTAGTGAGGTTGGATATTGTTTCTGGAATGTTTCCTGTAAAGTTGTTCTTGCTCAGATCAAGAACATGAATGTACTTCAGCTGGCCAATCTCCGTTGGAATATTGCCATCAAGGTTGTTGTTTCCAAGGTAAATAGCTGGTGGCAGGTTTGACAGTAGATTATATTGCTGATTTGAGGCATTGTTTGGTTGAACAAACACAGGCAATTCTAAAGCACTTCTGTCGACCTGATCAGCAGCCTCTTGTGATGCGAGTCTTTGCAGTTGAGTAAGTTCGACTGGGAAGCCTCCATATAGAAAATTCTGAGACAAATCCAGGTAAAATAGATTCTGTAAAGTCCCCAACCAACCTGGAATTTTGCCTGTGATTTGATTCATAGAAAGGTCTAGAACCTCTACCCTCCCAAGTTTAACCAACCATGTGGGTATCTGTCCGGCGAAATTACAACCACCTAAACCCAGAATTTGGAGATTTTGAAAATCTTCAGACCCAATCAAGTCCCTATTATCAGGCAACGTTTCATTATAAAAGTTTTTGGTGAGGATTAGTGTGGTAAGATTCTTACAACCCTTAAGGACTTCTATTGCCCCTGCAAAATTGGTTAGGCTGTTATTGGAAACCGAGAGGAAGGACAAAGCTTGTAAAGACATTATACCAGGCGAGATATCTCCTGTCAGGTAGTTAGTAGCCAGACGGATTGCAGTTAATGACCTGCATGAAAAAAGGCTTTGTGGAATGCTTCCAGTGAAGAAGTTATTTCCAAGGTCGATTATGCCAAGTCGACTAAGGTTGGAGAAATCAAGAGCTGAGAGTTCACCTTCCAAGAAGTTGACCCTTAAATTGAGCACAGTGAGACGGGTGCAGGTCATCAGCGATGGCGGCACAGTGCCATTTAGATTGTTTATATGGAGGAGCAACTGTTCCAATCTGGAGAGTCTTCCAATATCTTGAGGGATCAAACCTGTCAACTCATTGCCATAGAGTGCGAGGATTCTGAGGTTGACAAGGTTGACAATGCTTTCTGGGATGGGTCCAGAAAATTTATTGCCAGGTAAAGATATTTCTTGCAGTGTTGACACACTATAAATACCATCAGGAATGAATCCCGAAAGATGGTTGAATCCTGCTCTCAAAGTAACCAAACTGGAGCAACTCCCAAACCCTTGGGGCATCTGGCCCCTGAAGTCATTGGAAGTGAAATCAAGAACTCTGACAGCGGCTGAGTAGCTGCAAATAAAAGAGGGTATTGGACCAGAGAAGCTATTGTTGCTAATATCGAAACTCTCTAAATTAATTGCTGGCTCGAGAAATGATGATAGTATTGTCCCATTGAAGTGGTTGCTAGAGAGATTTACTGTCTTGATGGGTGATGGCAATCTATCTGATAGCGGCAATCGTCCTGATAAACGGTTATAACTCAAGTCAATGATCTGCAAGGTACTAAATGAGTTGAAAAATCCATCTGGGAGGGGACCAAAAAATCGATTATTTGACAGGCTGAGTTGAGAGAGTTTGGTTAAATTTGCAATAGCAGGGGTTATGTTTCCAAAAAGGCTTCTTGAGGGAAGCCAGAGAGTGGTTACTCGGCCATTATCATCACAAGCAACACCTTCCCACAAGGTGCAGCAATCCGCGGAAGAAGACCAATTCAAAGGAGAAGGTGAAGAGATACCAACAGAGAATGATAACAAAGAATCACGATCAAGCTGATTGCAAGAAGCATGACAGATGGTAGCAACAGAAGAAAGAAGTAGAACAAGTATCAGTATTATTGGATAATAGAGAGATTTATGGTGGGGTGAAGAAGAATGGATGGAAGTAAGAAGCATGGCTTGTCGAAATTGATGATATGTCAGACCAGATTGGAGGCGGCTGTCTTTATTATCCATGATGATTAATATTTTTAGACAACTAAAGATGAAGAAGAAAGACAGTTGAAGATGCCAAGATACTCCAATCAACCATGTGGGTATTTTTTTGGCAATTCTTTGTGCTGTTGATCGTGCAGACTTTAGTCTAACCCCATGAAGAGAAGAGGAGAGAGAGAGTGTTAGTTGATGTTGACAAGGTGCAATTTTTATGTAGCAAAAAGGTGAGGTATGAGTTTTTGAAATAAAGCGTTTACTTTTGGGACGGCTGGTGGACTTTGTTTATTCTATGGATATTTGAAAGCGTGTAATATACATGGGAGAGAGAGACTTTACCATACTATTCTCCTCACTTTGTGTCTTCTTTCTAAGTAATTTTAAGCAACAGATTATGGCTTATTGTTATGAATTTGTTGCTATCCTATGGCCTATGGAAACTGTTTCAGATAATAAAGCCAGCCAGACCTTTAGAGATGGTCACATACTTTTCTCTTTTGGTGTTCCTTTTTTATGCAACTGACTAGATGTACATGTTATGTTCTTCAACATTATTTGGCATCGTGTTCATTTTTTTTTAAAAAAAAAAATACATCACCTGGTCCGTTGACTATTCAATTCGTTTCCCGATCCATCCAATTATTTTATTTGTTTTACTTCTCTTTTTTTGGTGACAAGGGAGTAAATATATAGCCGGATTGAGATAGACACTTTCAATGTCTGGAAATTCCAGACTCCTGAATCCACGGAGTTTGACAGCGTCTCAAGGCATCATTTAGAAAAATTACTCTGCAGACAGAGAAAAAATATCTTTTTGATTTGGCCAATCGATGCTGCTAAGAGCCCTCAACTGTTGTGATACAGAATCTTGAAAACAAAATCCAATTTATTTCAAGTGGAGTCGTCATTTTCACCCTTTGAGGAATCATAATCCATTACCGTGCGCATGATGGTGAGAGGAAAGGGGATCCAAATAATTGTTCAAAAGTCAATATTCATAATCACAACAAATAATCCTCAAAGGAATCATTATGGCTTTTATGAGTATAGTGGAAGGAACACCATCAGATAGGAATCGCACACTTTAGCAAACATATATCATGTCTTCTCACGTGATAAATTTAAGTTGAACGGGATGTCACATGGTAAAAACAAAACGTTTCAAAGTTGGTGCAGAGCATTGTATATATACACAGACAGTTGTTGTGTGGAGTATAGTCAGTCACTTTCACCAACCACCAAAGTTTACCAATTTGTAGAGACCTCAAGACTAAAGAGAAGAGTGTTCCATTTTCAAACCACATGTTCCTCACCAGATAGATGCAGATACTAACAACTTATTCGAGACCAGTCAAAGGTCAGAGTCCTTTTCCATCTAATTTTTCTTATCCAGTAAAAACCACTGCATCTTATTAGCATCCTGGACCAAATATTAATTGCACAACAGATTTCCCTTCTTTTCACTTCTCTTTTTAGGTATGTAGGTACAGCATTACATCATTTTCACTTAACTACAATAGTTCACAAGACAATTCATGAAAATCACAGATGAAAAATACCCTTGTGTGCAAGAGTGAAGTGAAAATATCTCCTTGCAACACATTGATATCAAGCAGAGACATCTTGGATTTCTATAGATTTTTTCTTTTTTACAATTGTTACATCTCGTAACACTAACATTTGGAACAACAATTTGAAGAAAGAAAGAAAAGAATAATTATATGAGATTTATACCTTCACCCCTTCTATTTTTTTTTTCTCCAAGTGGAAGACTAAAACCAGCTTTCTTGCATTGCTGGGAATAATTGGAATTGTTTGTCTGCTAGAGAAAAATGATACAACATGGATAAACATTCAAGAAGTCAATACCGAACTACTCTGAACATATCGTTGTAACAAGCAAGTCCCTTCATTCCTCCAATCCAATCATCATTTGGGTAGAGCAGCTGGCCAGCCTCAATGATGTTCATTACATTGCCAGGAGTCGAGGTGCTCATTTGGCCGAGGCATGGGTAAAACCATGGCTGCTTACTCTGCATCTACACCAAGTCCATTGCAACAAAGGTTAATTACCAATTTTTATTATCTTGGGATTTGGTTATATAATGACAGTGGTCAAGATGAGCAAGATCTTAACTCATCAAAGCCTCAACTCATCAATGTCAGAACAAGCATTTCGTATTTGCAAGTCCCACTTAAAGCCTAATATGCAGCTAAAGAAAGAGGGCGTGAAAAAGGGAATCTACCATTAAACAAGACTCATTTCAGGACACATTAAGGGTGACCAAACAGTGATGATATGTGTAATCCTTTTTCTCCTTTCTAATTTATGAACACGGTCTATGTTAATGTTTAGTGTGCACGAATATCATGGCAATTTAAAACTACTAAATTCAAGAGAAAGTGAAAATCATTCCTTATTAATCAAATGCTTAAACCTTGGTGGTAGTAGATAAAGCCAACAAGTTTTGCACAAAAATGGTAGTGATAATGAAGTCATGTGAAAGGAGAAATAGCAAAGTGCTCAACTGTGTATTAGAAAATTATTAAGGAAATGGATTTTAAAGGATGCTCAGGCTTCAAAGGGAACAAGGAAAAAAGAATGAAACTAGGGACCTACCATTGGATGGATCAACGTGTACAAAAAAACTTGCAGCAACAATCAGATAGCATAGGATCAGCATCAACCCTTTAAAATAGTTTGATGTGCCTTCCTACATTGTGTCAAAGGAACATCAGAAGTTAGCGACAAGCCTAAATTTGAAAGGTCCAGGAACAAAGTACAGGGAAAGATGAACAATTTTTTTTTTTTTTTTGGGGGGGGGGGGGGGGTTTAGGGGTTGAGATGGGGAGGGAGATGAAAGTGAAGGATGTTAAGAAAGAACTGGGTAGAATGCCGAACCTGCAACATGAATGCCACGACTAGCACTGTGATGAAGAGTGTAGCGGTCTCGAATAATTGAAAATTCAAGTCCATGGGCTTTCCCATAAACCAACCAACAACAACGCAAAACGGTATCTGCATATTTAATAGCACGAGATATGAAATTACCAACTACATACATAAACTCTATCATCTATCTTGAATAAATATAACCTGGCTGCCCCAAATTTAACAGTGACACAGAAATACTACGTGCTCTCAGGAGAGATAGGAAAATCCATAAAATGATCTCTAAACATTTTTCTAAAATAAATAAAAAATTCTCCTAAAATTTAAAAAGCTATCTTGGATAGTTGTAATGCATTAAATGTCTTACCACAAACATTGATATCTGAGTAGAAGATCCAATTGCAACTCCAAGTGTGATGTCCTGCCAACAAGGATACATTAGTAACTGTTTTCGAGCAAAAGAGAAAGTAGATTTAGTTTTATAAGCACTCACAAGCTTATCTTTCATTGCGAACATGATTGCACTGGCGTGTTCTGCCGCATTTCCTACAATTGGAAGCAAGATGACACTAATAAAGGACATCGGCATGTTCAACGAGTCAGATGCACCCTGAAAGAATATTAGTGACATGGGTTTATTACCATGAAGAAACAAAAAATTGCCACTAAAGGATTAAAGCTAATATTGAGCCCTTTTGCATTACACACATAGCTCAACCTTATTAGGTGCTTACGGGAGACTATAAATTTAAGGCAGAGTTAAATAAAAATTCTCTCGTGACTGTGACATTGCGTCCAAAACTTTTCTTGCTCTATATGCTAAATGCTGTTTTTGTAATTTAGAGTTCTGGGCTTCTTCCTCACATGGTTAAAAGAAGGAACAAGCCCCATTCATTTCGTGTGCCTCTATCTTGACATTCTTTACCTGGTGATAAGTAGGAATACACCTAGTTAATTTTCTACTGATCTACTGGTTCTCTCAATTACTGCTGTCAACATTTGAAATTGCTTACTACATGATAGTATTTTTTAAAATGTTCAAATATATTTTTTATATTGTATCTTGTGCATACACATATGCACTAGAATCTATGGATTATGTATTTTTGTTATGTGTTGTTTCCTGCTCTTCAGCAGGTTAAACTTTAAAAGAAATCTGATCTCCCACCCAGCTTTTGCACACCTCAATTACCCCACCACGTGGCTGCGTCCCAACAACACAGGCACCAGGTACTTTGAAGCCACACCCTTGGGTGTTTAATAGTTACTAATATTTGTTCAATATTTATGATACTATATCCAACAATTGTCATGTTCTTGATTATTTTCATGCCTCTTCGCGTGCATGCTCGACATTGCCCCTTGTGTATCTGTGCTACATAGATTGACTTTCTGATCAAATTTTATTAAAGGAAAATTAAACATTTTTCGTTTCACTTTTGACAGACCCTCGGCACGAAGAACACACAATCCGAATCCCTAACTTCCATTCACAATTCCCATGTCCAATAAGTAGCCAACCTTTTTGTAGTGTGGACTTTCCAGTGGAACCAAAAAGCATCATGAGGATTGGACAGGAAAATCAAGGCAGTCAATTTCTGGAGGTCTACTGCACGAGGTGATTTATGAGGTTATTAGTTATCATGCAATTTTTTCTCTGATAACCTTAAAAGGGAGCATCCAAAGTTAAGTAGGAGGTAGATATACCTTTATAAAACTGGTATATACAAACAGCTTGCCGTAAAAGAAAAGGAAAAGGAGGAAGGCAAATAGATCACCTCGATGGCATCTACTAGATATCCAGACAGCACTGATATCCATATTGTCAAAACAGCAAGCCACCCAATAGCTTCCCACTGGGTTATCTCAGGCGCCTCTTCCTCTTCAGGATCTGCTGAATTGTGTTCTTCATCCTGTATACATATCAGAGAAACTATTAGACCCGACAAATCATTTACAGCAATGAAAAATAACAATCACATATTTTGGTATAAACTCATCTCGAGAACTATCTGAAATATGTGCACTCTTCAGACCTCATATTAGGCATTTGATTACTCCATTGAAAAACATACTGTAGAGAAACAGAAAGAGGGAACCTACGGAAAATCAGACAGCTAAAATTAGACCATCTACCTCACTCATAGAGCTATAAAGATTTGGTTGACTCTTGAGCTGAAAGAATAGGTAGCTTGCATATGCTACCAGCATTATGCAACTGCTAAATCTTGAAAGAGCCAACTGTGACTTGCCAAAATGCAATTCCGTGTGGGTGAAATGAAGTACAGCTGGAAATAACAAACCCATGACTGCCATCAACAATAATCCTGAGTTCACAATGGCAGTAGCCTGAAACATTTGAAATTCAATGACTGTTTACACATTAAAGCAGAGAGGCACTTAATGGCGACATTATAATAAGAGATCAAACTGAACCATTGCTAATAAAAATGTGAATTTTATTGTATTAACTTTCAGTTTTATTTAATTCATCAATAAAATGTCATTGCCTCCATTACAGATTTAAATAAGAGTATGAGTTCATGACTCAGAAGAATATGATCACCTTATTAAAGACCTGAACTTTCTGCTGATGAATAATTCCACCACTGAAGAAGGCACAGCCAAGAACCAAGAGCATATTTGATAAAATGGAACCCAGCAAGGACTGTTTAACAACCCGCATCATTCCATTGTTCAATGCATATAGCGAGATTATCATTTCAGTTGCATTTCCAAATGTTGCATTCAGAAGGCCCCCAACTATAAATCAGAAAAAAACAGTGTGCTGGCTGATAAGAAAACGATAAATATGTGGTCGGAGTGGATGCAATCACGGGCTCCACATATTAGACACTGCACACATGTATCTGACCCGTTTCAACAAATATACAATGTACAATATCAAAACAACATGATGCACTATTCCACCAAAGGTCAATGAGTGCATGAGAAACTAATTCACAATTATACAGCAGTGCAGCAGGTTTCTCACAAGCCTTCTCAAACAAAAGAGAAGACACTAAGCGCAAAGAACATGGTAAACATGTTGCAGCAGTCTTTTTCCATCAGAACTTCCACCAAATGATGTGCAGTAAATCATCCCCACTTTAGATGTGTTAGGTTCAACATAGTACGTACATTCATCTAAATGCCTTTTGCAGTTCGGAGTTGAATAGATCTGTTGCTCACTTAGTGCCACTTCTAAATTCACCTTAGATACCATATTCAGATTCTTTAAGTTAGTCTGATGACTGCATACCAACTTGACGAAAGCACTAATTATGACAAGCATTTTGAGAAGCTTAACTTAATTCTCCAGACTAATTCATTTAAATAGGAGCATGCCTGAATCTTTTGAAACCGAAAGGGCATGCTTGAAACTAGAAAATAGAAGTGGAGAACAAATGATACAAAATTAAAAGGGAGTACCTGTTGGCCCGGTATAGAATGCGAGCTGCCTGTAACAAGAGGATTAAGATTGTCAATAAGAGCACAAACAAGAAAAAAAGGTGTATAAGTGAACTACACTAATTTGGAGAGAACAAGCTTACTCGGTTGCATAGCCCAAGCGCTCAGCTAAAGGTGTAATGCCCAGTAAACTGAAGAAAAAGACCCAAGTCTGAAACATCAAATTGTACACAAAACACAGAGATAAATAAGCATATATATAATTAATTATAAGGAAGAGAAAAAACATGGTCTATATTCAGCAACAATGATTACATGTTTTCCTGTAAGATAGTGAAGCAATATGGCGAGGGGGCCAAAAGGAAGTAACAAATTGATCTTTGCTTTGATAATAACAATGTATATACTCCTTAGAAGGCTGATCTGATACATCTTTGTTAAGACCCTAGTAGAGCGACAACTTGCAATATGAGGTGCCTCATAATACAGACTGTCTATTTTGATAGTTCCCTGGGATGAGCTAAATGGAATCTCCTCGTCAAGTTGAAGGTCTAACTTATCCCCAGCAGATCCCATCTCCTGAAACATGAAATGGACCAAACAAAAACTTACGTTGTAATCATTCCAAACTAATCAGAAAAGTATGCAATAAGCAAAAACAAAAATTGAAGTTGATTCAGAGAGACAGAGCAGATCAAGATTCGCCATAAAAGATAGTAAAAGGATAGCAGTGTAGTATAAAGATTGAACATTTACCAGAGAAACAAAACAGCAATTAATTTAGTTATGGTAAGAATAATTAGAGTAATTGTGTTGAAGAAGGGAGCCGGCTGTTCTGAAAATGGAAGACGAAGGTTCCTGGAAGAAGCGCTTAATTAATTAATTTGAAATAAACAATTGATTATAATTATGATTAGTAATTGGAAGATTTTTCAAGTAATCAAATAAAGAACTGATTGGGAATATTTTAGTAATATGTATGTAGGTGCAGAAGTGTCCCACCCACTCAATTATTTTATGTATTTAATTAACAAACATTGCATGTTGGATTAGCTCATTACATCTTTTTTATTTTCCACTACACACCCACAACCAGCCCTCATCTCTTTTCTTTTTCCATAATACAAACAAAATAATTTTCATTATAGAAATCCTTAATTCAAAAAACGGAAATAACTCTAATTTTGCTTCGTATTTAGGAAAATTTTCCCATGATATTTTAAACATAAACAATATCGATTTTTCTCGATAGCTTTAAGATTAAAAAATTTCAAATTGACGAGTATCACCATTAATGAAGTAGTAAGGCTTGATAGGTAAGTCGTTCCAAGAGAGAGAGCTTTTAAATATTTGGATTTGACAATTCAAGGAAATGAAAAGATTGACAATGATGTCTCACGTCATATTGAAGCGGAATGAATGAAGTGGAGATCCACATATGGTGTTTTGGAGATAAGAATGTCTCGTGAAGATTCAAAGATAAGTTTTACAAAGTGATGGTTAGATCGACTATGTTGTGCGATTGAACTGTCGCCGCCCCTTATATCGATAGTTGCAAAAATGAGAATATTGAAATGAATGTATTGCATAACTAGATAGATAAACTTAGAAATGAACAGATTCAAAACAAGATAAAAAGTGAATTATATATGTCATAGACATATGCAGAGAAAGATATGTTGATGTCCTACTAATATGGTGTGAGAGGTTGGATGTCATCCTAGGCTTATGGTAAGGGAGAGGTAGGCTAAAAAAATCTCAAATTAGGCAAGACAACATAACTTCAACTTATCGTGACATACTTGTTTATAGAAAGATATAAAAATCAAATATTAAGATAAAGTATTTTAGTAAGTTATTGGGCGTATTAAATTTACCCTACCAGGGGCATTAGTATCTTCTTTTTTATGTTTGCTTATTTTCACTACTGTAGTGCTACTGATTGTTTGTCTCTTTCATTTATTATCTTGGTATTGTTGCTAGTTATTACTATGCTTTTTTTTGGAAAGTCTTTTCTTTTTTAACGGAGAAATATTTTTTTTCATAAATAAAATTTATGTTCACTCTTTCTATATATATTTTTATTTGTGAAATTTTATGATTAAATCTTTTATCAATAAGATGATTAAAAAAGTATGAGTCATAAAAGAGCAGTGCGTTTTCATTTGATGGTGAGCACTGAGAAGAATAGAGATATGTCAATGCCAATAAATAATTAGTTACAGTTAATGCAAGTTGCTTGAGGTGATAACTACCTCTGCGATGTGCTCTTGTCATTTTATTCGCGCAAAAAGATCTTTTTGTTAATTAATCAATTTTAACATATCAATATTTCTTTTCTTTTCACATTTTATCTTTGACATTAATAACCTAAAACTGTATATTAATTAATAAAAAATAATGAAGTAAAATTGAAGTGTGAGAGTACTTATACATCAAGCTAGCCATTAGACTTGTATATAAATATTCAAGAAAGGGTTAAAATTATCTCTGAACTATTCGAAAAGATTAAAAGATATCTTTTATTCACCTACTGAATTTAAAATTTTTAATTGATTTTTGATCCAAACTCAATTAAAAAATTTAATCACCTCTTCTCTCCCTCTCAAACTTAATAATCTATTTTCTTCTTTATCACGACATACAACCTCAATTAATGGTAATTAAAATAATGCATAATATATGTGATGTAGCTAATTTAATTTGATTCAGTCCACTTCAAATTTATATAAAGAGTATAATGATGAGAAGTATTTGAAGCAGCGAAAGGGGAGAAGGAAGAGGCGTGAGTGTTTTGATGTTTAGTATTGAGTAATAAATAGAAAAACTGATCTAATAGATTTTTATATTTGTATAGAATTATTTTCTAAACACTCCTACTTTGCTTATTACTTATACTTTTGTCGTCTGAACCCAACATTTTGGATTTGGATGGAGGCATCAATACTGACCAACTCCTCTCTCTCTCTCTTCCTTTAAAAATCAATTAAGTATTGCGCTCAAAATCTAAGCTATAAAGAGTTCATCTGGAATATGGAATTATAGATTCTTCCTTGAAGTTGAAGACAATCAACAAATAACAAGCTATAATGAATTGTTATACTATGATTTATCTTCGAATAAAAACAACGATATAATCATGCCACTAAACGAATATAATATCCACGAGTAAAATAAAAATAAAGAATTACACCACTAAATGAATTGTTATCTGATATATTACGGATAAAACAAAATAAAGGTAACGATATAATTACACCACGAAATGAATCCTTATCTGATTTACCCACGAATAAAACAAAGACAACATATAATCATACCACTAAATGAATCGTTATATAAAACAAAAACAAAGATATCGATATAATCACACCAGTAAATGAATCGTTATCTAATTTATGCACCAATCAGACAAAGATAACGATATAATCACACATCTAAATGAATTTATCCACGAATAAAACAAAAACAAAGATAACGATATAATCACACCATTAAATGATTTGTTATCTGATTTAATTTAGGAATAAAACAAAAATAAAGATAACGGTGTAATCACAGCACTAAATGGTTTATTATGTGATTTAATCCACGAGTCACCAATAATAATAATAATAATAATGTAGTAAGAAAACAAAAATTGGAAGTGATTGTGACTGTAACGACTTTTCATGAGAGACTAGTTCGCCGACACTTGCGAATTGTGATACTCTCTCTTGTTATAGACTTTTGAATAGGCAACATTATCACAACAAATATGAATAATCACTTACTTATAGAAAAGTTTTCAAAGGAAAGAACTTGTATGTATGTATGTATGAAGAAAGGAAAGGATGGACAGGGGATAGAGGGAAAAGTCGAGTGATCCTTGTTTTATGAATAGCAGAGGAATGAGCGCAAGTCATGTTACTTAAACAATTCATTGATCAACAGTTTTCCCTTCCTTTTTACCTTCTTCTTAACGGAGGAGGAACCAACACCTAAACTAGTATAATAAAAGAATGATTAATCTTCAACACTACACTTGCTCCTCCCCCAAAAGTTTTTATCTCTTTTTCCCCATTTAAATGTAACTTTGAACAAATCCAATACACAAACAATCAATCACAAGCAAAACTTAGGATGATTTAATAAATATCCAAAATATCATTAATTGAATCACTAAGTTGGGGGCAACCCATAATATTTCTACTTCCCTCAAAGTGGAAAACCAGCCCCATTTTTTCTTTCTCCCACAAATAAAAATCCATCATCAGTAAACAACATTTTAACATTACACCAAAATAAAACCACAAAACTAAAACAAAAGAGAGTGGGGAATTTCTCCAAACCTAAAACCGTCAAGAAGAGGAGGAAAAATGAGGAGGTGGAGGTAACAATGGATGACTCAGTGAGGTCGTAGTAGTAGCAGGACCCGTGTGGGTGGTGCCGGTGCTATTCTGGGTGATGAAGGGATGGCGCAATAGCTGGCCTGCCGTCCACCGCCTGGCAGGATCCCTCTGCAAACAGCACGCAATGAACTCCCTAAACTCCCTAGAAGCACTGGGTGGTGCCTCAGGAGGCTGAGACATACAAATGGCACACATGAGGCTGGCCCAGTCTCCTTGTCTCCCCACAGAAAAGGGGAACCTTCCCAAGTAGAACTCTAAGATGCTCACCCCAAGACTCCATATGTCCCCAGCATACCCGTCGTACTGTCCGTGATTCAGATCTGTGTTGATTCTCTCCGGACTCATGTAAGCGATGGTACCCACTGAGGAATTGCAAGGATCCATAGTTTGTGCCAGAACTCTTGAGACCCCAAAATCTGCAATCTTGACCTCACGCCTGGAGTTGATTAAGAGGTTCGAAGGTTTGATATCTCTGTGAACAATCTTACGCCTGTGGAGGTAATAGAGGCCGGATAGAACCTGTCGAGTTAGATCGGAGAGAGGTTGTTCGAGAGGGATATGGATCCCTTCGAGAGAGCCTTTATCCATGAACTCGAGAAGAACTTGGATTTCTCCGTTGTGATCGAACATATCGTGACACCTAACGACGTTAGGGTTGTCTACATCTCGTAGAATCTCGATCTCACGGCACATCTGAAGACGGACAGAATCCTCGTGGTTACCATAGATCACTTTCAAAGCATAGAGTCTTCCAGTGGGACGATGTAGAACCTTGTAAACAGTACCCCCGGTGCCACTACCGATGCGATTAACCCTCTCGAGCTCAGAGAAATGTAAAGGGGTAGGAAGCGGGGAGGAAGAGGATGAGGAAGAGGTTGGTGGAAGAGGGAGAGGAACAGCAAGAGCAACGTCACGTTGAGGAAGAGGAAGGGTCAAATCAGTACGACGGCGGGGACGACTGCGTTGCCCGGCGGAAGATGGAGGAGGCATGGATGATGCAGCGTTGGTGGAGTTGGCGGCTGGTCGCATGATTGATTGAATAATGGTATTGGATTGTCTGCAAAATTAATTATACAGAGAATGAATGAACGAACGAATGAATGAATGGGGATTTTTTTTTTAGGTTCTAAAAATCGAGAGAAAGAGAAATGCAGCCATCCAACACAAAACACAAAACACAAATAGAGAGAGAGAGAGAGAACTTTCTTGGAAGAGAGGAAGAGTAAACGTATTTGTATTGGGTGGATGAGTAGGTCAGCCTAAATCCTACTATTACCATCTCGTTAACAAATAATACGAATCAAATTCTTTATTCATTCTAACCTTACTTACCAACAAAACATTGGCTGTATTACTTCGTATAAAAAGAAAATAAATATATTTACTTATAACAGTATGAAAGTAGCATGGGTTTCTTAATATATTTTTTTTTAAAAAATTTATGTTAAATATTTTTAGTTTAACTTATATTTCACTTAAAATCAAAACGTTTTGTTTTATAAAAATATCAGTGTTCTTTTTCTTTGTCTGACATAAATAAACATATTTGGTTCATGAAAAATTAAAAGATCCACTCTATTTCATACTCCCAAAAGCAAATTTTAGTATTGAAGCATAAATAATAAGTTAAATTTAGGGATATTTATGTTATTGGTCAGACCGCATCACTCCAAAGGTTTTTGGAATTTAGTTTTGTAAAACTGAAAATGGGAACTATATATAGTATTGCTCAATGATTTGTTGAATCGGATGTTTTTAAAATCAAATACAATCATGAAACAAGAATCATTACCTTGCCTAATACACAATTGCTAACGTTTTCTCAACTCATTCAAAATTGAATGAATTTCTTGAAACAAAACCC